ACACACACACACACACACACACACACACACACACACACACACACACACACACACACATATATATATAAACTTTAAAAAAGCAAAGTTGGTGCAAGCCCAGCAGGGAAGAGGCAAGGACTGAGGCCGGGGCATGATGGGTCTGCAGGCTGAAAGGCCAAGCCCTTCTCACCCAGAGGTCAAAGATGACTTTCCAGCTCTCACCTCCTGACAGAGATGCAGAGCACTGGACCATCTGCCCAGAGCAGCCAGGACTCCAGGAGACACTCAAGATGGCTGCACATAGTTGCCTACTGCTGAGTCTCCAGGGACAGCAAGGAGAGATCTCTGGGTACAGTGTTCACACCACTCCATCAGATGGGGTGGAGGCCCTGAGACAGACAAGGATCACTGACTGCTCTGCAACTGAGATCTTGGGATAAGGAATCATGTCTTTTTATCCACTTCAATAAATAGCCTCCCATGTAGCCAGATTTTTCACTGGATAAAAATTTTATGTATCTACCAAATTATTTTCACCTTCAGTGTGCTGGTATTATAGGTATGCACCTCTACCTACACCTACACCATCTATTCCCTCAAATGCCTTTTGATTTTGTTTGTGTTTCGGTGCTGGAAATCAAACCCAGGGCCTTCCACTCAACTATGTCCCCAACGCCTGTGACCTCATCTACAATCAGCTCACTAAAATCCCAAGAAGCCTTTTGGTTTAAGAGAAACCAACAGATTAAAGGTGGAAGCAGAGGAAGAGGAGCCAGTGTGTGGTTTCCCCATTTCCAGAATCACTGAACTAACTTCAGAAATTTCAAGTACACGTGAAAGCACTGTAAAAACACATTCTTAATAGAACTTGTAAATGAGCATGCCAGCATATGGCACTTTATTCTATTTGGAGGCTTTGGGCAGGCATAGTTTTGAGACTAAGGATGTGAAGTGTTGCAGATTAGCAGATTACAAAGCCAAAACAAACCAGCACAGAACAGGAACATTTTTTTTCTTCAAAATAATTTAAAAATTTTGCTGGACACCAAATTGAGGTAAAAGTTTCCCATACTGAATTTTTCCTGTACAACTGAGAAGTAGGTACATACCCTTGTGAAGCCAGCAGCAATGAAGGGCATTAAAGACACCTCCTCTTTGTCCCCCCTTCAAAGGAAGATGGTAAGGGTTAGGTAGTGTTCACTAGTTTATACAATCTTCAACAGTCACACAAGTACCTCCATGTGAGTCAGATATTTGTGTATGGAACTGAAAAGCCTTTGCTGTTTCAAGTTCATCTTTAGTCTTCTGGACAGGTATTATTATAATTTCTTTGGGAGGACAGGGCTTGCTGTGTTACTCAGGCTGGCCTCAAACTCCTAGACTCAAGGCATCCATCCTTTTTCCTGGACCTCCTGAATACTGGACTACAGGCACTTGGCACTGCACCAGGTATTTAAATACTTTAAATACAAAGGTTATATTAACAACTGAACAGTGCCCAGGAATCTATTTAATATATAAAAGTGTATATACTTGAACTATTATGTATTTTCCACTTCTAGAGGATAAAAGGGCGCAGAAGCATTTCTGTCTCTACTGATTATAAATAGTCTTTATTTAAGGACTTGCTCTTCTCCTTGCTCTAACTTGAGAAGAAGATGCCCTGCATGTGTATGTCACCCAGATCCTTAAAAATTCCTAAATTAAAGGCCCTAGGAAGACACATCTGAAAAACCTTCACCCTTAAGAGAATGGAATTGTATTACAGTTTGCTTGTAAGGGCAGTTCAGAGTCAGAAAACTACACCCAGGAGCGGAGCTCCCTCGCTTCTTCAAGCAAAGAAGAAAAACAAAATGTTAAGGAGTAAAGAAGACCAGACTTCAAAGGGGGTCTGTCACAGGCAAGCCCTTACTTTACCATCTGATAAGAACATTACATCGACATCTGAGTTTCAATATGAAAAAAAAAGTTTACCTGCGTACTACACCAACAATAACTGTGTTTTCTGAGAGTTTTGATGATCTGATAGACCTTAAAAAAACAAAAATTTAAATAATAAATATAAAATATTTTATAATTTATAAAATACTTTTGAATATGAACATTTCTTAAAAATAGATATACTTTCATAGTTTTAGTTGTACAGTTACAATTGCGGAGGGAAACGAGAGGGGAGGAACTCCTTTCATACTCTGGATTCACCTTCTTGGCGACCTGCTCTTCCCTGGGTGATAAACTCCTCATTAGTGGACTGTGACAACCATGACAATTACCACGTGCAAACCAAACAGCTAAGGTGCTGCACTTGGTGCGTTTGCCGAGGTTAGTGTGGGGAGCGAGCTCCCCTACACTGTGCTTGTGTGAAAGGGGCCACAGTCACCTCCTGCGGAAGGAGATGCACACACCCATGCACTCCAGGCTCCTGCCTATGCAGACAGTGGGGGTCAGGGCGGCCAGGAGCCAGCTTGTCACTGTATTTTAAGCAGCAGCTTAAGAGTAAAGAATTCTGAGATAAAATGGAGGCAAAAATCACACACAACAAACTAAGACTAGGAAATACAAGATACTGTTGTCAGTCACGATGAAGAGAGTCAGCACCTGTGACCAAAGATTAAGACGGCGGCTTGGTGGACACAAGTAGATGACACTGCCCCCCTGATGTCACCCAAGGAGTGTGAGGGTCTCCACCCAACCAGGAACACAACCCTCAGGGGAAGCAGCTATATGGACCATGAGTGAGGACAATATAGCCAAGAGATCAGGGGAGACATCCATGAGATGCAGAGGAGAGAGGAAAGGAACTCTCTGCTGGAGGCATACAACAGCTCTGAACTCATCTTCCATGAGAAGAAGGTAGAGCTGTCTAAAAAGAACCAGCCACTGGAGGAAGAAGTAGACAGGGCCATATGCAGGCTGTCCTAGTCAAGGGAGAACTATGCTGGCCTCTTGGAGGACATGTTCAGGATGGGACAGAAACCCGCCAAGGCTGACTACATTACCTCCTCTCTATTAGTTAAAAACAACAACAAAAAAAAAAAAAAACATAGCTACTTCTGAATCACAGAACACAAAAATGATTTGGGTGGCTACCTCCCAATTCCCCCAGAGATGGTACATAACACAACTACTCTAGATGTCTATGAGAGAGTTATAATATACAGGGGGTACCCTAGTCCTGGCGACTTTTCTGTAAAAAGCCAGAGAGTAACTACTTTAAGATACTTATATATCCATGTGGATTCTGTCCCAATTACCTACTGGTGATGATTCACTTTATGTGTCAACTTGACATAACCCATAATGTCCTGGAAAGAGAGTCTCAATGAGGGATTTTTTGCACCCATTGGCCTACAGACATGTCTGTAGGGTTGTCTTTGTAAGTTAGCTGATGTGGAAGACCCAGCCCACTGTGAGTAGCACCATTCCCTAGGCAGGAGGTCCTAAACTGTGTTAAGAGTGGAGAAACTGTGCTGAGCACAATGCAAGCAAGTGAGCACGCATGTATGCACTAATTTTCTCTGCTTCTGACTGCGGGTGTACTGTATCTAGCTGTCTCAAGTTCCTGTCACCTTGACTTCCCCGCAATGACAGACCATAACATGGGATTATTAATTAAAATAAACTTTCTTCAGGATATTATATCACAGCAACAGAAATGAGACTAAAACACCATCACTACTGCCCTCGGAGCATGAATGTGATCACAGACCGGGCAAAGCCTTTACCCTCTCCTCACCCTTACCTTGGGGCATGCAGACTGCAGGTTCTGTGGGTCTGAGGCTGAGGAAGGCTGAGTCTAAAGACAGACAGACAGACAGACAGACAGACAGACAGACAGACAGTGGTCCTCAAAGAGAGCTGCTCAGGAATGAGAAGCAGCTCTGGGGCCCAGCTAATCTCTCTCCTGGGCACACAGCTCACCCGCCCCTCCTTTCTCAACAGTCCTGTTTTCCCAGCGTCCACTGGACTCTAGCTCTCACCTGCCCTCCTTCCCCACAGGAGCCAACCTAAAGGCGCCGCAGAACTCTACTGGAAAAGACTTCCCAAACAGGTCATGGTAGGGCATACTGGCTAGGTGTCCAACTCTGGTCTTCCTGCCCAGAGAAGAACAGACTCAGTTTCTGGAGAGAAAGGCCAGGGGAGGGTCACTCAGGCCTAGAAGGGTCATGGTACAGCAGGCCCTCATCTGCACAAAGCCAGTGCGCTCCTGGTAATACTACTAGCGCTGATTCTAATCTCAGATGAAGAAGGAACATGGACTTGTGAATGCTGCTCCTGTGACTTTAAGGTCACTGAATCTGTTCGCATGTGTTTCCATCATGTCCTTCCTTGTGAAAGGGATGGAGAATGAAGAAAGGGTGCTTAAGGCTCCAGCCAGCCACTTCAACTAAGTTCTTAGTATTTTAGCAGTAATAGAGTGGCAGGTGGGCAACCGTGCAAACGATTATCAGGGAGGGGCTCTGGGTGAGCTGCCCACTGCTGGAGGAAACAAAGAGGGGCAGAGGCAGAGGAAGAGGCAGAAGAGAGATCAAAGCAGTACTAAACTCTACTACAGACAGACAGAAGTATACACCTGACTTTCTCTAGTGGAAAGGAGCAAATGGCCAGAAACAGAACCTAGCATGAGACACAATAGCCTTAAGAACTAATGTCCTTGCTTTAGAATTCGTGGAACTAGGGAAGAAATGACTTGGCACAGTCAAAATGTGCATATGAACATTAGGAAGACAGATTTCAAAGTCATGTGACTATAAAGACCAAGCAAACCGGGCTCTCAGAAGTGCACTGCCTTCGACTACACGATACAAACCCCAAAACAGTGGTTTAAGTACATATATATATATATATGTTCCTACTAGGCATGAGGGCTCATAGCTTTAATCCAAGCATGGGGCAGGGGCAGAGGGGCAGAGGCAGGTGGACCTCTGTGAGTTCAAAGCCAGCCTGGTCTACATAGCAAGTTCCAGTACAGCCTGGGCTATGGAGAGAGACCCTGTCTCCAAATACACACACACACACACACACACACACACACACACACACACACACACACACACACACACGATAAAATATGAAAGATAAGCAGAGGGACAGTTCAGAGCTGCCATAGCACTCTGCAGGACCAGGAACCTGAATTTTTCACTGAGTATTTCCCTATTATTGTCTAAACAAGATCTTCTTTGTGGTCTAAGGTTATCTGAATATGAGCCATGATGTACACATTCTAGACATGAGGAAAAACACCATGCTCCCTCCCATCAAGGATACATTCCAGGAAACGCATCATTTCCAATGGATAGCCGCAAGAAAAGCTAAAGAATGCGATGCACTTTTTAGATGGCTACATGCCCTGTTAAACATCAGAGGACTTGTTATTAGGTAAAGAACCAGAAATGTATAGCAGGGAAACGACCACTGAGACAACTCGGAATGATTTGATGATGGTCTCCACGGCAACCCTGACAAACGAGGGCTGGTGAAGGCCCGCTGTGAGACCTAACAGAGCCCTGTAAAGAGCTGCACACAGGTCTAGTCTGCTTTGCTATGCCCTCTGCCACGGGCGAGTTCCAGACTGACAAGAAGGGAAAACAGTGGTAAAAAGGCTCTTCAGACCAAGGCGAATCAAGAGATTGTATGACACGCTCAGTTCTACCTTTTCTGAGGGGAGGAACGTGTATCTGCGTTCGTGGGCAGGGGTGGGGGGTATGATGCTGGGAGTCATCCTCAATCCCTCCCCACCGTATTCACTGAGGCACTGTCTCTCAGTTGGACCTGGAGCTTACTGCCTCAGCCCACCTAGATAACCAGCTTGTTCAGAGGGCACATCTTAGCCTCTGTGGCTGAAATTATAGGTGGGTCATGCACACCCGGCATGTTCTGGGGATCTAAACTCTGTTCTCATGCTTGCACAGGAAGCTCTGTACCCGCTGAGCCACGTTCTCATCCTCAGCTCGTCTCACTTCTGCATCCATGGGAACCTTAATCTACTAGAGCATGTCCGGTTCTACCCGGGGCTTTCCTCTAGCTTCCTCCATGAGATCTTCCCTTCCGTTATGCAGCTATGTTCCTGGGGCACCAAGGAGTATTTCTCACCTCTTCTAGCACACCAAACGTCCATCTTCTAAACTCTTCTGCACTCTCTCACAAGAGAACAGTCAGAGCTAGGGAGACGGCTCAGTTGGCCAAGTGCCAGCCTCAGATCTTCAGCACCCATGTAAAAGCCAGGAGTGCCTGTCTGTGGCTCCAGCACTTGGGGCCGGAGGGCTCTGGAGTTCCATGGCCAGCAGGTCTAGTCTAATGGATAAGCTGTAGGATCAGTGAGAGACCGCCTTAAAAAGTAAGGTGAAGACTGACCAAGTACGGCCCTCACGTCAAACTCCAGCCTCTACGTGCATGCACACCCCTACACGTATAAGCATGTCTACGCATCACTCACACACACACACACACACACACACACACACACACACACACACTTTTTCTTAGTCATTAGTGCTATTGTTTCCCTGTCATTATGTTTAGGCAGCTCTCACCCCCCACCCTGACACACACACACACACCTTCTCTACCCTGTCACTCACCCTTGAATGGAAGTGACCTCTGCCAGGCTGCTGACACAGTCATCAGTTTTCTTTCTTTTCTTTCTTTCTTTCTTTCGTTCTTTCTTTTTTTTCTTTTTTTCTTTTTTTCTTTTTTTTTTGTTTTTCGAGACAGGGTTTCTCTGTGTAGCTTTGGAGCCTGTCCTGGAACTCACTCTGTAGCCCAGGCTGGCCTTGAGCTCACAGAAATCCACCT